GGACTTTGCATAGTGGAGGGATATTCTTGTACAAAGTAACTTGCAGGATTGGGGTCCTGCATGTAAATGTGTTAAGATCAGGGATGTGTATTATAATCAAACTGACATTTGCTTAACTTTTTTTCATTAGATTCTACTAGTGCACAGACTGGATGGACATAATGCATTCTCATATATACCCATTTTTGTCCCTCTTTGGCTTTCTTTGATAACTTTAATGGCAACAACATTTGGACAGAAAGGGGGAAATCATTGTAAGTATCTAGAAATATGCAGTATTAGATGGAAAAAGCTCATGTTGAATTCAAATATTTAATCCAGGCTTTAGCCTATTTATCAATCCTTTTCAGAAATAACACATCCTCTATGTATATTCCCCTCAACCCTTCCCCCTCCCCCCCCCCCCGCCAAAAGAGGGAGAGATTGGGCAAAAGGGTAGGAACAAGAAGTATTTGAGACAATTTCAATGCAAAATTTTCAATTTTGGGTACTGAGGAATGTTGTGGGGGTCTCTTTCAGTAGAGTAGAAAGTATGGCTTACGTTTCCATCAAAGCAGTCTGTTTTGTTTGGTTTTTTTAGTGGACACCGATCAAATTAAACAGGGATGAACACAGTGTGCTTAGTCAGAAGGAGCTTTGCAGCTTAAAACAGTTTTTCCTTGTGAGCCACATGTTGTGTATGTACCTCTTATTTTGAGTATCTTCTGTTATTGTTAATCATCTAAGAGCTTGATTTTGACCCCTTGGAACCACAACTTCAAATACCAACAGGGTCAACTCCGCCCTTAATCCTTCCACAGTAAATTGAGTTCCATGCTCTTTAGGGTGTAGAGGGTGGTGGTGTGTGTGTTTTTTTTGTTTGTTTGCCTGATACACACATTGAGGATCCCATAGCATTTATTGTAAGAGGATGGGCTTGTCCTGGTGTCCTTAGCCAATGTTTTGTTTTTCTGTTACACAGCATAGCAGTGTGTGGTTATCAGTTGGTTGTGACTTCTACTACAAGGGTACATTTACTTAATGGTGCAGTGAATGTATAGGCGATAAAAACCCTTTGGGATCTTTTCAGGTGAAAGAGTTAGTATTAATATTTATTATTGTAAACTGGCTTCTCTTGTTTTTGGTCTCTTTAATCACAATGTACACTAAGGCTTTTTTTTTAACCTATTCTTAGATCATAGGTAGTTTTTTCATATTCAGCTGCTGTTTGATTAATTCTTGTATTGATTCTTAGAAACTGTCAGTGCTTAAATAATATTTTTGCACCACCAGTAATAATTAAACCTATTTAGCCCTATAATAAGGAATATCTTAGCTTCATATTCTCTACTAATATGCATTAAGAGGACCTTGTGAGGACTTGATCATGAAAATATTGACTAATTTATTTTCAGCTAGTACATTCTCAATGTCTATAGCTGCTTGTTTTATCCAAGCATCTCCAGCATAGGTTGCTCTCCCAGACCTAGTTAATGTAATTAGACTTCTGTCTGAGGTATCAGAGGAACAGCCGTGTTAGTCTGTATTCGCAAAAAGGTATCTGAGGTATCGTTACTTTGAATAGTATCAGACTTCTAACTTTGTATTTCTGCTAGCTGTATAACTTTTAATCAATCTCATTTCATTTCTTTTTTGACCCTTAATCCTAAATTTGCCATCCCAAAATTGAGAGGGAGAGTGTGGAGCACTGAAGGGTCCAAGTCAGTCTTCACTTGTAGCTGTGACCACAGTGCAGTTGCAGTGTAGCCGAGGACAGAATTGGCTCAGCCTACAAGAAGGCTATATGCTGTAGATCTAGCATTGGGTTGTATATCTTATTTTATGAATATGAGTTAGGAGATATAACCCCATTCATCCCAAATGGACCCCAAAGTGCTTAACAAACAAATGTACTTAATTCCACAACTGAAATGCAGTTACCGAGGTGAAATATGGCAACTGGTCACCAAGCTTAACCTCTCTTGAGAAGAACGTCATGGGATCTTTAATGGCAAGTCATCAGGACGTTGGCTTTGTTTCATGTGAAAGATGTGGCTTTAGCAGGCACAGTACCCTTGTACACCATGCTGTGGTATTAATTAATGGAAGAGTACCATCTACTGAGTCGCCTGCACTATTTGTTAGTGTTTTGGTGCTCCACTTATGTTCTTCCTATCCACATGCTGATCTGACGCTGCTTAGCTTGTGAAATCTGATGGCATCTCGGTATATGGTGGCATAGCTGCAAGCTAACATAACCTGATTTGTATTGCTATTAGAGTATACTATGTATATTACACATTGTAAGTAACTTTCTATAAACATAACTTATCAATATCTATTTATAAAAGATTTTGGTCTGAATAATTAAATCAAATGAAATGAGAGTACTTATTTTTAAAGTTCAATTTTCTTCTGGAGTAAAACTGAAACTATTATTAATAAATATTTATGTTTTCCAGGGTGGTTTGGAATTCGCAAAGACTTCTGTCAATTCCTCCTTGAACTTTTCCCATTCTTGAGAGAATATGGAAATATTTCCTATGATCTCCATCATGAAGATAATGAAGAACTGGAAGAAACACCTGTTCCAGAACCTCCAAAAATTGCACCAATGTTCCGAAAAAAGACTGGAGTGGTCATTACACAGAGTCCTGGAAAGTATGTCATTCCACCTCCCAAGTTAAGCATTGACATGCCAGATTAAGATGAATTTAGATGGTGGACAACTGACAACAAAACTGGAACTTGGAATCAACAGCCAAATGTATTTCATCTCATGCCTTGTTCTAATTTCTTTAAGGACAGGTATTTGTCAATTAGTGGCTTGTAATGTAGATGTTGGAAATTTAGAATATGATTTCTTTCAGAGCTTTCCATATTTACTTAAAATCTCATGGTAACAAATCAAAGTGGGAACACTAGTTATAGTAAGGTTCACAAGTGGAAACAATCTGTTAAAAAAATGTACCTATAAAGTCATTACCAGAGAGATTACTCCAATACACAGATGGGGACATCAATTGTAGTGAACTGGGCATTGAAAACTTCTAATATTCTGTACCATGACCTCCAGTAACTGAAATTCATATTTTACTACACCTCATGTAAGCATTCTAAGTATTGCGTTCCTAGTGTTATGATGTTCTTTTGTCCATGGAGGTAGGTGGTTGTCTAATATGTGAACCTTCCTAGTGGACTGGTTATGTGCCTGGCTGTATAGTATTTATACAAACATTTTAGCAATGTAATATATTGTGTTCAAATTCTAGTTCTGTACAGTATAAATATTATGTAAAGGTATTTTTTTTAAAAAGCCTGTATGAAATGCATAGACTATTACAGAGGATGTCTTTCATGTCTTAACTTGGCCTCTCTTGCTGTATGTATTTAGGCATATAGTAGTATGTATTGGCATGTCTTTACCTATCATTTCCTATTCAGACATGAACACTATCGGTAACTACAGAGGCACAGGAGCATTGCACTCCTCAAGCAAGACTTGAAGGCTTTTGTTTTATATAGAATGTATAACACCTTACATGATTTGACTTAATGTAAATTATTGTGTAAATAATCACAACCTTTGCACTGACTTGGGGGTAAATGTTAACTTTGTGTTGCTTTTTCCAGTTTTATAGTCAAATTTTACTGTTAAGCAACACATTTATTCATCATTCGCCTCTTACTTCAGCTGTTCAATAAACTATTTTCTCCTACATTATGTGCAAAATCTATACCTTGTTTTCAGTGCTCACAGACTTTGTGGATTATCAATTTTGCAGCTATTGGTTAGCTGTCATAAATATCAAGATTGTACTGTTGCATAAATTACCCAATTTCATCTGTAAAACACCGGTCAGTCTAAATTATTAAACCCTTCAAAATGAGTTGTGCCATCTTAAAATAGTAAATTCTCTATAAAGGCTTCTCTTTGTTTTGACATTGTCATGAGTTTTTTGGATGATGGGCTTTTTTTAACCTTTACTGAGGATACTTGTGGGACAGTGAGATTAATCTGAAATTCATGTTACTGTAGCTTGTTCTCCTTGGCCAGGAGATGCTTCTGTTTGCTCTTACAGGTCAGTGGTAAGTATACACTCAGATATCCATCAGTATTGTATTTCTGAAAAAAATTACTGGTGCAGGAATTATAGCAATGTGGAAATTCCATCTCTCCACCATAGTTACTAGCCACGATTGTGCCAGAAGTAGGAAATATTTGTTCTTTTGACTAATGCTAGTACTAGTGAGGCAAATGCTCCCAACACTTCTCCATGGGATGTAGAGTGGTCTGTTCCTTTATTCTTCCCTTTTATTTATTTCCTGTAAGGGGCATTTAATGGTGGAATATAATTCATTATAGTCCACTTTCTTCCTCTACTGCAGCAGAAATGGGGTTTAGAGGCAGCCTTCTAACCCATGAATACCCCACCATCATTGTCCTCTAGACTTAAGAGACAATGCTCTGCTCTCACACTTCCTACTTGACTCAGCGAGGAAAGGGCCTTCCATTTGTCCAATGGGTTACCCTGCTGGAACAGAGCAGCAGTTGAAGAGGCATACGTTGAATTCCCACACTGTCACCAGAAAGGAGAACCAGTGGCAAGTAAGCGTCTAGCAGACAACCGCCATTCTTCCCTTTTTTTCTCTCTGCTATCTCTGTGACAAGTGCTTTCAGGATTGTTCTTTTGATATACAATTATTGTTATCACTTGAAAGGTGGATAATGATGACCAACCTCTGCCAATTTCAGATTCTGTCCCCCTCCCTTTTATCCATACCTCCTTCCAGAGTCTTTGGAGCAGAAAAAGGCTTCTGCCAGAGACCACTGTAGTTAGTCTCCTTTGCTGCAGCTAAATGGAACTGTAAATCCTCATTTTGAAATTTTTATATACAATTTATATAATTTAAATACTTGTATTCATGTTTGTTTTTTCTTGCAGGCAGGGTCTGACAGCAAGAACACACACACTGTGGCAATTCTTGCATTAGTGAAAGAAGCCCAAGGGAAAGACTCGTCGAACAAATTTCTCCCTTTATTCTCAACCATAGCAATAGTACAAACTTCCCTCATCCCTGTTGTAGAAATGACTGCCTCTGGGGGGATGGGACAGTGGCCCTGTCCAATCAGTACATGCTTTATTTACATAAAGAGACCTTTTGTAGATTAGATCTCATCTCTTGTAAATGAAATATAAATGCTATAACTTGTCTGGCCATTACTACCTCAGTTTGCTAGGAAACCAATTGTTTTATTATGTCACAGCCGCACACCACAGGTATCATTATGATGTTCTAGAACTCCTTTATTGAAGTTCACTGTAAGCTAGCATCATTTTAATATACCTCTGTCTAGGAGCATGAAGCTCAACTAATAGCATAAATGACTACAGCTGAAATAGGTCGAAGTGAGAAAGGAGGATTGGCGATGGACCTTTCTATAGCAGAAACTCCACATGTTTCAGCTCAGGTTGATTCTGCTGTCTCAATTTCTTCTGCTGTTCCACTGTGTGATAAAACAGCAACTGGTGACTCTGCCTTGAGATCTATAATAGAAGAAAATGCATTTCAAGCTTTGAATGATGGACCCTGGGTAAAAAGACCACGTCTTCTCTGTGATGATAGTTCCACTGAAGACAATGATTTTTTATCCCTCACCTTTCCAAAGAAACTATGGAAAATTGTTGAAAGTGATCAATTTAAGTCACTTTGGTGGGATGATGATGGAAATTGTGTAGTGATTGATGAAGAGCTCTTTAAAAAGGAGGTGCTGGAAAGGAGAGGACCTCTGCGAATTTTTGAAACTGATTGCATGAAAAGTTTCATTCGTCAGCTTAATCTCTATGGCTTTAGCAAAATGCGACAAGATTTTCAAAGGTCTGCCTCGTTAGCTGAATTTCTAGCAGAAGAAAAAGCAGCATCTGCCTTTAGCAAGGTAAAATATTTCTCAAAGCTAAAGATGCTATTTTAAAATGTTAAATTAGTTTTTTGCACGTGCAAATAAGTTTTGTTTTATGCTTGTTATGAAGAGAATCTATGAATGAGGGTTGCGAAGGATATTCTGACAGCCATAATTTCTTAAGGTATTTTCATGAACAGTAAGAGTAAAAAAAAAAAATGTGATTACTCATTTTTGCCCTGAAGTGACCATTTCATTGTGGCTTTTTCCTACTCTCCTGAGCCAGTGATTAGTCTCTAAGGTGCCACAAGTACTCCTTTTCTTTTTAGAGAGAGAGATTCCCCCTTCCCGCCTGGTTACTGGCTTCCTCCTGATGCTAGATCTGAACTGCTTTCTTTCCCTCCTGACAGTTGCTGAATGCTAGAAATGTGGATATGGCCCATGTGCTACTGACTGAACCTTTATGGCCTTCATTTAAATTACTAAAAGTCAATGGGACTTGTACTCCTAAATCACTTCAGTGCTTTTGAAAACCACCTACGATTAGATAATAGCCATCCTTATTATTTAAACTCTGTTTTGATACTAGACCCGTTAAAGGGACAATCTATTAAAAATAGTACTGAAAAATGTCCTTACCTGTATTCTGAATAATACCTTTAAATGTCAAATTTACATTTCACCATTTCTGCCATGTTTGCTTTTTGCCCTTTATTTTGCTTCTACAATGAAGCTAAGCTATTCATGTCCATTTCCTGGTTTAAAGACTAAAAACAATGCTGCAGGAGAATGTTCATAAATTCAAGGATAGATCACTGATTTTAAATGTTATGAGAATGCTTCTGTTTGGTTCATCAAATCATCTTCACAGACTAAAATTGGGACCTAAAGTGCCTGCCAGTATCCCTTCAATGTTAATGTTTGACTTTTTTATGTAGGCAAAATCTTAGCCAGAATGTGCACTTGACTCTTGCTTTTTTATCCTCACAGAGGTGATTAAATCTTTTCACTTGCTTTATTTAGTTACAGTTCTACCATAACCCGAATTTTAAGAGAGGCTCTCCCCACCTCCTTGTAAGGTGTAAGAGAAGAGTTGGCATCAAAAATACACCACCAGTTGCTTTCTCATTAGATGAGGAATTTAGTGAAAACTGCCTAAAGAGTGAGCGAAGAAGCTCAGATGTTCAGTCTGCCTTCAGAACTGCTTCCATGGAGGAAAATGACCTTGTTGCAACTGCTCCAAAGGAAAACATGCAAACATGTGCACTAAGAAAGCCTACAGTAAATAAGGGACTTGCCAGAGCAACTGCCCGAATCAGAAGTGGATATGTTTCTTCACCAGCAGCTTCACTGAAGCCATCGGAACATGCGACAGCAGAAGACAGTGAGAAGCTGAATCAGCTGGCTCCATTTCATTTACCCCAAAATAACAGCCATACTCGAGTCAGCACTCATGATATAGATTCCACTACAACTACATCCGCGACTTCTTTGTATCATGTCATACCTCCTGTATCAAATAGTCCTTTTGGACCTGTGATGGGGCTTCCTACCTTCCCAACCATGTATCCAGACTTATCAGCTATGCAGGCTCATTGGGCTAGTTTGCTGCCATTTTGTAACCCGTGGTTCTCAATGCCTATGATTGCAGCAGCCTCTGCCATTTCAATGTCAAGATCATCTCATCACCGAACTCCATCATACCATCACTGCCCTAATTGCAACTGCACTTCAAACAATGCACCTGCTGCCAAAGACGTTGGACCAAAGCCTACTGAATATTCAGGATACCATCGATAAAGCAAAGGACTTTAACATTTCATATTCTGAGGGGAAAGTCACTGACAAATCTGCAATGAAACTGTCTGAAGAATAAATGTCTTTTTCCAGTTTTCCTGTCCTATTTATATTAAATAAACCCAGACTTTTTTTTATTTTCAGCAGGGAAGAATTAGTTCAGTAGAAGTAATTGGTCAGCTTTAATCACTTGTAGTAGTTAACAAATTTAGGGATCGAGAATAAGAGCAGTGTAATGTTTGAATTACATTTGGGCTGGTCAAGTTCCTTCCAAAGATAACTTCTGCTCCCTCCTTTCCCCGCACCCCTCCCCACCACCACTTCTTTGTCTCCGCAGACTGAAGGGCTGTGGTGGAGCCAAGCTAGGGGAGGTAATGCAGGAGGACTGAGCCTCTTTTCTGTTCTAGAGGTGATATGTGCAGCATGCAGCTCTGTGCCTGAGGAATATATTTCTGCCAGGCCATTTACTAAGGCTTGGTTTGCAGAGCAGGGTTTGACCTAAGTGTTTAAACAAAATATCTATCACGTGATAACCTTCCTACTCACACGGTACAGTGATCTTCACCTTTTAGGATAGCAGGTTTGTAACACATGCTGAGGTGGATGACCCACCGTGATTCATGTTAGCGTCATAAGAAATAAGATTACAAATTAATGGTAAGCACATATTACTACAGTAAAAGATCTCCTAAGTCAGGTCTAGGATAAGAGATCTATAAAATCAACAGACCAAAATGAAAAGAGATTGGTTTCATTTTCAGCAAGATGCAGGTTAGGGTTTATTAAAAAGGAGAAAGGGAGGAGGGGGCAAGATTTAGGAATTACTTTACCATCTTGGATCCCTTTCACTCAGATAATTTTGAAAGGATGCTGCAATCCAGGGTTACTTTGATGATAAACTTTGAAGTTAAATATTTCAAGTTCCAAAAAATGTGAATTTCTTTGTTCTTGGTGCGGCTATGAGCTACCAGATGGTGGTAATTAGGGTCCTGCATACATTGTGACACAGGGATAGAGCCTGTGCCCAGTGAAGTCAGCAGTAAAGCTTCCATTTAATTCAGTGGTGGAGGATTGGGCCACAACTGATGTGAGAGAGGAAACAAAATACAGGACAGTAGGAATATTTATTAAATGATATATTTTACAAAGTAGAGTGGAATGATTATTTCAGCTTAGGGTTAGTAGTTCTCTTCACTACCATGTGGAAAGTAGGATTTAGGTTGGATACGCATTGAATTGCTTAACAATGATCCTTCTGCACAATTAACATGACACATTGAATTAAAATGATTCTTTTCCTAGATCTACTTGAGGGTTTTCTACAGCACCCATCCCCCTGGTGTTCAAGCACGTCTTAAACGTTTATTAAAACTTACATCAACTCCAATTCATCTGGAGCTAAAGTATGAAGTCCTTTCTGAGACACAAATATACTGGTTTCTGTAGGAGCACTGCCTACAGTAGATGTGCAGGATTGTATCCCTGGACGTGCAATGAAGAGCAATGCCTACTAGTTGTAAAATTTAATAAATATTCTATGACTGAAGTCTTCAGTGTTTTGAAGAGCAGATACAAACTGGATAAAATGTGCCATTAATAGTGTATCAGTACCCCACTGTGCACCGTTCTGCATATTTAGCTTCATGGAAGTCTGCTGCAGTCAGCTCCCAATATTTACATCTTATATTCAATAAAATGACAAACTACCCTGAAATTCAGAAGTGTGAAATGTATTGCAATTTTATAAAGAATTGAAAAATCAAAGAATAAATGGAGTGGTTCATTAAATCCTAAATCAAACAGCTTCCAGTCACAGACCGGTGCCTGCTAGGATTACTACTGTAAGACTCCTCTTCAGGAGGCACTGTAAGCATTGCACATATGCAATCCACATAGTCTTTAGAAGTGCAGTTATTGGCTGGGACTTTTGTACAGCACTTAGCTAAGTAAATCTTTTTCAAAGCCTTTCTCTTTCTGTTTTTTTCCCCAAAACATAAAATCCGTTCTCAGGTATGAGGTGGTTCATCCTAAAAAGTTCTTCTGCCCTGTGGATTAGACCTCAGAAGGTGCAGCTGAATTGGTGTTTTTACTAGCTGGATAAGGCTACATCATATGGCAGTAAAAATGTCTATGCCTAGTCTAATGTGTTGATAGCCTTGGTGCAGCTGCACCTTTGCTGAAATCTTTGATTGTCCTTGTATAAGAAGTTTTAGGTGGTTTTCCCTTTCCACTGGGGGAATTTCTAGTATAATGAGGATGGCTGGAAATGTAGGCATCAATTGATTCTATAACGGTTACTATATGTGAGCAGAATTTTGCATTGTTTACCCTCAAGAACATCTCCTTTAAGAACCATCACTTTCTAGAGGCTAGCATACTCATTTTATTGTCTTTGTATCTACGCCCTTTGTGCGGACGCAGTGCCACCCGCCCATATCTCAGATCTGAAGGTTAAAATGAGCTTTGACACTTCTAAAAATGTGTCACCCCTTCTCTATCTGCCAGCTGGATCCTCTTTGATATCCATATGTATGCTTGGTCCCACCTGAGATTAGTTTTTTCCTCTGGCACACCTGCTTCAGTGTTCTGCATGGAAAGCAGACAACTATTAAAAGGTTTCCAATATTAAACAGGTAGTATTTAGGTAAAAATGGTTCATGGACCCTCTTGTTGCTAGTTAGACAGTATTTCTACTGGGAAATTATTTAAAAAAAATGCTTTTCAAATATTTTTCTTGAGGTCTTACTGAAGGAGACCAGAAGGAAGTCTTAGAAACTGTCCTCTGTAGACACACAACAGTATAGTCCAAGCAGAAGCAGTACAAGCCTTCCCACACTGCCCTACCAATGTACTGCAACCTTCATATGTGCAGATTGTGTCTATGAAAGAGAGCAGTTCAGACTTCATACTTGAGCCAATCCTTGACCTCTTTGATAAAACAGCCAATAAGAGTGCTGGTTTTTGTCATGTGGTAACCTGACAGCTGGACAAGAACAGCCAAACTCACTGAATGGCTATTAAAAGGAAAACATTTTGAGTCACTATCAGTTAGCTGGGGATTTGACCCAGCTACATGGGGAGGAAATCTTCACTAACCCATTACTAATCTCAGCCATTTACCATAATTTATTTCATATTAATATATATTAAAATAGATGTTATGTTTATCCTTGATATCAGCAATTGTGTTCATTTTCTCATTATGATGCTATATTTTCTGAAAGGGATCCTATTATGATGTAATGCCAATGTTACACATTCACTATTGTGATGTTCATGAATGCTTAAACAAATTGTTGCATACTGTCATGGGTGTTTAACTTTCTGAAATGATCTATGAAAGACCAATATATAGTCTGATATTACTCAAAAGCAGGTGAGAAAATTTCTATTATGAAAAATATTTAAACAATTTAAATTAAAAATATTATCAGTGTCTACTACTGTAAGTCCTTAATATTTGGAGTTTGGATTGTAAATTCAGTGTAAAATAGCTGTTAAAGTAACCTTATTTTCTCCCACTTCACTTTTTAAAAGTCTTTGGAAAATTAAAAATGATGGGTGATAGCTTGATGGAGTGGTGCTGGAATAAATGTTGGTCCTGCTGAGTATTTTTGTTTTAGTGGGTCAGAAAATTCTCTCTGAAATACTTTATGTACAAAGGTTTACTAATCAACTGAACGGAATTACTTGTAAGGACCAAAGTGTGCGGAATTTGGCTAAATTTCTGGAAAGTAAAGAGGATACCTCTGCATTATATGATGTTTTTGATCTGATTTCCTAATAGGGAAAAAAAAATCATAGGTTTTTTTGTGTGTGTCTGTTATTTCTGAGCCCAAGCCTGGGAGGTCCTGGATGCTACACATCTCCCATGGATTTAAATGGGTGTTGACAGCATTCAGCACTTTACAATCTTTTATATCAACCTCTGGCTAGCTGCTGTCAAACTTGAAAATCCAGTCCCGACAAACTGCTGAAAGGGAGAAGGGGCTTTCTGTTTCTTCTCCTGTATTGGTGCTTCCTGACTGCTGGAAAGGGGAGGTAGGATCTCTACTTAGTTCCATCTCCCAAAATTCTTGGCTACTGTAATAGGGAAGATCATTCTCCATTATTCTACACCCTTCCCCATAAGAATGGCCCTACGGGGACAGACCAAGGGTCCATCTAGCCCAGTATCCTGTCTTCCGACAGTGGCCTATGCCAGGTGCCCTAGAGGGAATGAACAGAACAAGTAATCATCAAGTGATCCATCCCCTGTCACTCATTCCCAGCTTCTGACAAACAGAGGCTAGGGACACCATTCTTGCCCACCTGGCTAATGGCCATTGAGGGACCTATCCTCCATGAATTTATCTAGTTCTTTTTTGAACCCTGTTATGGTCTTGGCCTTCACAATATCCTCTGGCAAGGAGTTCCACAGGTGGACTGTGTGACGAAATACTTCCTTTTATTTATTTTAAACCTGCTGCCTATTAATTTCATTTGTGAAACACATTTCTTGTGTTATGAGAAGCAGTAAAGAATTCTCCCTTTCTACAAGATTTCTGCAAAAGGGGAGGAGGGTGTTTTCAAATCTACTCATTCCTCCAAAGCTTCAAGTAGGGTTGGAGAAGGGGAATGTCTGTGCCTCTAACTCATGCACACAGTCCATCCTGGCTCCTGCTGGGGTCTCTCCTACTCTACTCTACCCCAATTCTACCTCCTAACTACTGGGAGGGTGCATGAAAGCAAGAGGTGGTCTCTGCTACTCCACTCTTCCCCAGGTTCTATTGTGGGGGTCCTCTTCCTCCTTGAATAACTTCAGTACCAGCCTCTGCTGCTACTCAGAGCTTTTCCAAGCAGCAGCAAGAAACTGACATGAGTCTCCACAGTTCTACTGTGGGAACAGCAATTGTGAAACTGATCAGACATGTTAATTTTTCTCTTCTGCTTGACAAAGCTAGAGGTAGCACTAAAAGCAATCAAGATGTCTGGCAGCAGATTTAGGAAGATGACACTGCATCAGTTCACACTGTGTTGACCACTGAAAGACTATTCTTGCAACAGTAAGGGTAGATACTTAAGATACAAATTAGAAAGCTAAAAATGCATACATTGATAATGTAAGTCTCTCATTTGCCAGGACAAGCTTCCCCGAGGCTGGGGTGAGAATGGATTTTTCAAGTTCTTTTTTTAGGACAATGGGAGAAATAATTCAGATTGAAGATAAGCAGCAGAGGCTAATTCAAGTGTCTCATTTACATAAATGAAAACCGAAACCCAAGGTGCACAGGGTAGATTTTATGGCAGATTTTGTCCTATAAAAATAATGCTGAGAATGCAACTTGAAAAGGGAGAGTACTTTCCAAAAGCAATGCTGCACATGCATACACAGCTTTTTTGGAATTGATATACTTTAAAATAATCTGTTTCTTTTGTTACAGTTGTATTATCAAGCATCAAGAGTCTTTATTCAGTTGTTAATAATAATGAAAAGAAACACTAAAACTAGACGTTTTACCCTGGAGCAAGAGGGTAACAGCACTGACATAAAAGCTGTGGGTATGCCAAATGCTCAAGAATGTGCCTCAGCATGCTTCGGTGGTGGCCAGCAAACTGATTTGCCATCCCATTCTCTACAAAACTGTGCACAAAAGCTTTTACCTCCTCAAGAACTGAGAGCAAGCATCAGCGAATTAAAAACTCACTCAGCCATCTTGACAGGAAAAAGTTCACAAGAACAGAAAATAACAAATTTTGAAGCCACAAAGAACAAATATTGTGACCATTCAAACAAACATTCCATCATCTTAACTGGATCTTCTCAGATAAGGGAGTCTAACAGCCGTGAATTAAAATATCACCCAATGACCTTGACAGGACAAAGTTCACAAGAACAAAATACAGTTGGCTGTGAAATCAAGAAGAACAAGATGTATCATTTTCATCCATACAAACATACCAGTTTTACTCCAGATATCAGCTATGGTATGGATTCAAGAATTGCTGCATTAAGTTATCACCCCTTGACTCCAAATCCCATGCCAAGATTAGATCCCATAACTAGGCTTCCTATTTGTCAATGCGCTCACCTAGATTTAGCAGCTATGAATCCCTACCAGATTGCCAGATTGGCGTTCCCTCATCCATGGTTTTCCATGCCTATGATGCCATCTCTTTCTGCCATTTCTATGCCTGGGGATGCCCCTCCTCAACATAGGACATCCCCACATTATGTTTACTGCCAATGCTTTTGCTGCCTTGGAAGCTGGAGAGCCTCAAAACCAAATTTGCAGTAAGAACTTCGGATGCAAGGGAAAAACAAATGTTAGTGACATATGCACTAAATAATTTTAACACAAATTTCCATTTTATTAAAATTAAATGTCCAGAAAGTTAATTTTCTGCAGTTTCTTCTTATTCTTTGCTTTATTTTTTTTTTTTGGTCCCTATTGTTCTATGATATACTTTTTAAACACAATATTCTGAAGGTAGGCCTATTACTATTTCAGAGCAGTCAAAAAAAAACAACAGCTAAGAAGAGGAGCCTCAGCCACCTTTCATTGAAATTTACTGAGGCAATGAGTTACCTTCTAATGACGCCAAAGCGTGCCCCCTTTAAATCCTTTTAATTGTAAGGTTTTCATACAATCAGCTTTTTTGTGGTTCAATAGTAATGTCAGAGTTTCTTCAGCCATGCATTTCATCATCATTTCCAACAAACATACAGGATAGGTATTTCCTACCCTAAGCAGAGAAGAAAGCTTTGGCACCTTCTATAAGCACGTGTGGTTACTGCTGACGAGTCGTGACTTTTTAATGGTGACCACTCTATTGTCTTGAGTGTCTAATTAGCCTGGATAACATTTCCCCAAACCTGGCTCACATGTAGCTAGTTTATGATTAGTTACATACAGAGATGATTAAAGGCTGTGTGGTCTATTGTTTAGAGTAAAACACTGAGGCTGAGAATCACAATTCCTGGTTTCTATATCTAACTCTGCCACTGGCTTACTGTGTAACCTTGAAAGGTCACTAAGCTTTGCTCTACCTTAATTTTCACATTAGTAAAATGGGAATAATAATGTCTAACTCACAGTGGTGGTGGAAGGCTTAGTTAATAATGTTTGTAAAAAACTGAGCTCCTTTGAGAAACAATACACAATAAAACCAATGGATTATGGTTTGGTACTATTCAAAAGCTGTAATAAACAGATAATTAAATATGCTGTGCAGCTCTTTTAATGAAAGATTTTGTAAGTCCTATAGGAAGAAAAACAATATATGCACTGAACAACAAAGGATAGAATCATAAAATATCAGAGTTGGAAGGGACCTCAGCTATCAAATCCCCCCTCATTCTTCTCTTCCGCAGACTAAACAATCCCAGTTCCCTCAGCCTCTCCTCATAAGTCATGTGTTCCAGTCCCCTAATCATTTTTGTTGCCCTCCGCTGGATGTTTTCCAATTTTTCCACATCCTTCTTGTAGGGTGGGGCCCAAAACTGGACACAGTACTCCAGATGAGGAATAGAGGGGAACGATCACGTCCCTCGATCTGCTGGCAATGCCCCTACTTATACATCCCAAAATGCCATTGGCCTTCTTGGCAACAACGGCACACTGTTGACTCATATCCAGCTTCTCGTCCACTGTAACCCCTAGGTCCTTTTCTGCAGAATTGCTGCCTAGCCATTCGGTCCCTAGTCTGTAGCGGTGCTTAGGATTCTTCGGTCCTAAGTGCAGGACTTTGCACTTGTCCTTATTGAACCTCATCAGATTTTTTTTTGCTCAATCCTCTAATTTGTCTAGGGCCCTCTGTATCCTATCCCTACCCTCCAGCTTTCAACTACCTGAAAGGGGGTTCCAAAGAGGATGGATCTAGACTGTTCTCAGTGGTAGCTGATGACAGAACGAGGAGTAATCGTCTCAAGTTGCAGTGGGGGAGGTTTAGGTTGAATATTAGGAAAAACTTTTTTCAACTTTTTCAGAGATGATTTAGTTGGGGATGGTCCTGCTTTGAGCAGGGGGTTGGACTAGATGACCTCCTGAGGTCCCTTCCAACCCTGATATTCTATGATTCCATGTGGCCAAGCTGCCAGAGATTGGAGTTGAGGAGACATCCAAGCAGGATCCTACCCAGTTTAAACAGAGAAGAGGCTGGCAGTACAGTGTTCTCCAGAGGTGCTTTCAGTTCTGGAAGTAGCTCCTCCTCAGATTCAAAATGGGCCTGGTTTATGTGCCTTCAGGGAACACTACAAGGCAATCTTTCAGACTGCCGCAACAGACAGCGGAGCTGCGATGGAATCTGGATCTGTGGGGGAAGTGGGGTTTGGCAGGCTGTTTAATTTTATTTTTTGTGTAATTTATGGCAGGATTTCCTAGACCCCTGGATAGGTGCCCTCTTAATTTTTGTACAATACTAAAGAAACAACAACTAGTTTGGCCCTGTATATTTTATACATGCATAAATAATTTATCCATAGCTAGAATTTATGACATCACTAGAGTAACAAAAACTGTGTATGTCACAGCCATGGTGTCGCTTCACTACTGCAACATTCTAGAACTTCACTCTACACTGTAACCAAGTATTTATCATGTCTTTAGAACTATCCTGGACTGAGTACAACATTACATTTCCAGGTTTAACTTACTCCATCTAGATTCATGGCTACAAACACTTCAGAAAAAGAAGACAAATTTAATGTTATGTTTGATATGGCAGTAGCATTAATATCCACTGACAAAAAAACCTTCAGTCCTGAAAAATCAGATAAAAAGCTTTCATCCGTTTCTTTAATGCTGGACCAGAACATACCAGGAGATTTACCTATAAAGGACATTTTGGAAGAACATGCTTATGAAGTGCAAGAAGATGCCAGCTTCTCCAAAAAACTGCATTGCTATACCTGTAACCAACGTAAGGTTGAAACAGGCGAGATAAATGTACTTCTTTCTCTCTCCTTTCCCAAAAAACTGTGGAAGATAGTAGAAAGTGATGAGTTCACGTCTATTAGTTGGAATGATCATGGAGATTGTGTCATTATAGATGAAATCTGCTTTCAGAGAGAAATCTTAGACCGAAGAGGCATCTTAAGGATTTTTGATACTGATAGCATAAAAAGCTTCATTCGACAACTCAACCTCTACGGATTCAGTAAAATACGTAAAAATATCACTTTGCCTCACTTTCAAGCAGAGAAAAACAGAACCAGAGCAAGAATACTGGTAAAGTAGTAGAAATCTATGTTTTAAATAATTTTTTTGCTTTACATAAAGGGACACATCCTTGAGTCTCAACCTTTGTGCCCTTGACATAGCTCAGGAGAAGGTGGGGTACAAACATGTCTTTAAGTTATATTTGTTCCGCCCCAATTCTTGAACAGGCAGATACCAGGTGAGTCACATGACACAACATAGCGCAGCATGAAGGATGCTGTATTTTACACCAATTGCCCATAACTGCAAGTAGCTGTTCCAAAAACCTGGGATGACTGGGGCACAGGGACACCTGGGCTGTGATGAGTTGGGTGTTCTGTCTGTATCCCTTATGAATTTTGGATGATTTTATTAAAAATTGTATCATGAAATTACTGTGTCATAGAAAGCCTCTATGGACGTGGATCCCCCGGGGTGAACAGGGTTGCGTCATGTCTCAGCCAGGCCAGAGCCAATGGTGAATCGTCAGCACTCAACGATTGTCTATTGGGACAATAGATTTGCTCTTTCTAGAAGACGACACTTCCTCCTCTTGTCTGAAGGGAAGGGGGTTTAGGAAGGCAGAACAAAAGCAGCAGGTGATCCAAGCAGCAGTCTGTAAAGGGACTCATGGCGGTAGCTGGGGGAAGAGAGCCATTTTCCACCAGATTAAGATGAGGGAGATTGATCTTTCCCCAAGACCCTTTCCCCAAGCTATACCCCTTGTGCCCCTGGAGGAAAAGGAGTTGTACACAGTGTGGCATTGGAGCCACTTCAGCAGCTCCACGTAGGGCCTGTGTACACTTAAACTGCTATGGTAGCACAGCGACCGAGCACTGTCTACACCGGGGGTTTGGTGGCTATAGCTACGTCTCTCAGAGGGTGTGGATTTTTCACACCCCTGAGAGGTATAGCTATACCAATGTAAAAGTCCTAGTGTAGACTAGGCCTTAGTCAGGGGACTCCTCAGGTCCCTTTAAGTAGAATTTATAGCTGCTTTGTGCTGCTGGAGCAGTATTGAGGATCTGGCCCCAAATGTCTTCCGATTACACTGCTAAATATGTAGCGATTTAAAAGTCTTCAAAAGTAGTATATATCAGAGGGTTCTAGCTACATTAATTGTATACAGCAAAATCAAAAGATAATGTTTAGATAATTTATCATATATATGAACATATCTATGTACTATAAAAGGCTGATGTGGCTGGCATGTAAGGAAACCTTAAAGTCATAAACAATATAGTTTTTGAAATGAGTGTGTGTAGCATAGGGAAAAGATAACTTAACAAGAAATATAAATGTATAAATACCAAACTGTCAATAAATTACTTATGGTGTATAATTAGGAGTAATGGGATTAATAGTCTGAGTATCAGGAACAACTTCCTGATAGCGAGCCCTATTAAGATTATGGAGAAGTGGTGAAAATACTATGGCTTGGGACATTTACAACGAGATTAGGCAAAGCTCTAGAAAAAGTATTGTAGAGAACACCACACCATTGCCTCAGGTGGATAGACTGGATGCATTTTAGGTCTTTTCCTTCTCCAGTTACTATGATTTCACTTAAATTAAAAAAAAAAAAAAAAAAGTCATTCAGCTATGAAATTTGGAAAAATCTTTCATATCTTACAAGGTGGTACCACCATACCCAGATCCTATGTTTTATACTTGGGAGTTTTATCTGACTAAGGGACACAGAACTAGATAGCTTTTTATTACTAGAGAGAATCTGAGGTTTAGTATGACAGTTCACAGCATGTAGACAATAGGCACCAACATTATTTATGGCAAGGTATCTTATGTTTGTTTCACAAGTTAAAACATTCTGAACCTTATTATTACATGTTAAATTTAAAAAATGTTTGGGATTTTGTTCCAGCTGTATCACAATCCATATTTTAGAAGAGGGTGCCCCTTTCTCATTCAGAGAATGAAGAGAAGAGTTGGCATCAAAAGTAATGAACAGCCAAATCCCATCAGTCCTAACTTGAAGAGAAGAAAGCCAACCGCGCCAAAGAAATATATTTCCTTTCAAGATTCAATTCAGCCAAATGATTTGCAAATACTTTGTCTAAAAGAAACAATGCATAACAATCTACAAAAGAATTCAATAAATGCAGGGAATGGCAAAATGAACCATTCCTACCCAGTCTCTACACCATGGCCTTTGGAAACTGAAACTGAACACACTATTCAAAATGGTATTTATAACCAGCAAAGAAATCCATGTATGGATACTAATGCCACCAGCTCAATTTGTCCATATTTTCCTCTGACTTCAGAGACAGGGCTTGAACCCTCAGTGGGACTCCATCGTTTACCTTCAACTTACCAGGACTTTGTGTTCATGAATGCTCAGTTTACTACTTTAATGTCCTTTTGGAACCCCTGGTTTTCAATATTGATGGCAGCAACTTTGACAGAAACTCTCAACCAACAATTTACTTCTCCAGCTCAGCCATGTTCTTTATGCAACTGCTATGATAACACTGAGCCTTCTGCCAGCTGTGATTCTGCAAACTCAAATTCTGCAGAACTCTTGTGACTGACAAATTACAGTTTATAATGGCTGAAGCAGATCATGTCTTTTTAAAATAATATACAATTAAACTGGTTAAAAAGTCTAAGTAATGGGAGTATTTATTTCTTCTCTACACTTACGTTTCCCAGGTAGTCAGCATAAACAAGGCTGAGCTAGAGATTCTTAAAAATGCATGCTTCCACCCACCAGATGTAAAACAAGTCAAGCAGTAGTATGCTAACAGATCTTTTAGACATAGGGATCATATACCCCAATCCTGGCACTCAGAACTTCACAGGACTGGGTCCCGTCTGTAGAAATCCATTTCTTTGGCATGATTCCCAGTGAAGGTTTAAGGGGAAAAGATCTAATTATCTATAAACTTCTTGTATTTGCACTAGTACTTTTCAACTATTATTTAAAAAAAACTATATAGAACCTCAAAAAGTAAGTTTCCATTTTGTAGCCACAACATTAACGCCCTGAAGTATTACATTCAGTTCACTTCAGTGCCAGAAAAGATACTGACAAATTGGCGAGAGTTCAGAGAACTATAATAATTATAGGGATTGGCTTATCAAGAACAATTATAAAAGGCCTGTATAAAAAAAAAAAGCCCAGGAAAAAAAAAACAAAGCGGAGGAGGAAAGCATATTTGAAGTGTGTAAGCACCTCAGATGGAGAATTATTTAGGGAAATTCCAAGAGGGGAACTAGAATCAACAAGATGAAGTTAAAAAAGGGGAAAATGTACACTGACTATCAAAAAAATATTCCTGGCAGTGAGATCTCTCTCACTGTATAATACTTTTCAGTTGAGCTGGTGGAAGCCACCTGGGAACATATAAAGCTGTGTAGATAAACCATTAGCAAATGTACTCCAGGGAAGAATTCTGTTCTGGCCATCGGGGGATAGATTGGATTTCTGAATAGGTCTCTTTTATTTTTAATTCCAAGCAGTCCAGAATTCTGTGACAATTTAGAAACCTACAATCCTCATATTTAAAACTCATGGGGGTATTTGTATTGAGACATCTAAATTTGTATTAACAGTTACATTTCCTCCACTGAATAGGAGGGGACAGGGGAGTAACAATACAATAAAAATCTATCTTAAGTGATCAGAGGAGAGGCTGAAAAATATACTAAATTTAAAGTTCACAATTATAAAAGAGTATATAGCTACTGATGAATTTCTTTGAAAGTGGCAATGGGAAAACTAAAAGAGGTTGAAACATGTTCAATGATCTCAATCAGAAATCCAAAGCAGTATGGCAATCTTTATTTTAGGGAACATCCTCACCCCTGCTAAGTTCAGGTAGCTGGACTTCATGCAAGAAGAGAACCACAGAGATACCCAAAATTTCAAAAGTGGTAACACAGGCATTTTACCAGTGCTGCAATATCATCTTAAATACATGTTCCTGGTCATGCAAAGGAGACTTATTAATGGATTCACATAATTGAAAATCCATCAACTACGGTTCCTCCCCAGCCCAGGCTGCCTCCTCTAGCTGCATGTGTCAGGTCACAGAGGGTTCTATGGAGCAGAGTGCTATGGTGGGCACGGACAGCGGTGGCCCTGTGCATGGGGCCACAATTTCAGTGTGACTGCTCTGGCTGGGGCTTGCCCCAGGCAAAGAGGACAGGCCAGAATTTGCCCCCTGTCAATTAATTTATAATCTTTGAGGAGAATAGTGATTTTTTTTGTGCTTAATTTTAATTCAGTATTTTAAAAATAATTCCCCTCCATTTACCAATGTTTTCCATCTTAAATGAGAATATTAAAAGTTATTGCATTTGTTCAGATACACTTTTTACAAATGCATCTATAACACCAAACATATTCTTGTCCTCTCAAGTACTAGTCATGCTACAGAGTCTATAAAGGGGGAACCAAAAACTCTATCATTAATGCAAAGGAGTGCCTGAATACTATTAGATATAACTTCTATTTATATACCACTTTTGATGCCAAAGGATAAAAGGCACTTTATAAACTTAAACTGTTATAAAGAAATTGCATCATCCCACAAATGAAATGTAACCACTGCTGGAAAGCACAGCAGCACATAGCAACTACCCTCTTAGGGTAGGAAATGAAGGAGAATACTGTACAAAAAATTGTAGTGAGAATTTGAATAGGCAGACTGAATCCATAATTTGAACTAGATTAAAGGGAAAGCTAGATATTATGCTGCACATTTGCATTTTGTTAATACCTACATATGTAGGGAAAAATGAAATGCCTACAAACATCTGAGCAGAAATTCATATTTTATTTCAAAATAAGGCCTATGTCCTAGAATAAGAGTTGTATCCTACTCTGAAACACTGATGATGAATTTTAAATTAGTCCTCATTTAGTCCTAAATCTTATAAACATGCTTAACTTTACTAAAATTTAAAAAATGGTAGGAGTCAATGGGACTATTCACATGCATAAATCTTTCTAGGACAACAGCCTGAGTTTCTATTTACAACAAAATATAACCGAACACTTTTTCATTCCATTATCATCCCACAGCCTGATGCAGCCACACCTCCTTTTAGGTTTCAGCATTTAAAATAGATACATCTATATCTCAATATATTAAAAACATTTAAAAAACCCATTTATTTACAATTGTCCACATGTACACATACAAGACGCTTACAAAATAATATAGACATCAATAATGGTCATTGACACAATGACATCTCTTCACCAGTTGGTAGAAAAATAATTCCAGACATTTTTCCTCATTATTTCAACTTCTTATTCTGGGGTCACAAAAAACAAAGAAAAAACTCAAATCAGTTTTTGCTTCATATCTATTTCTATAAAAAACATTCACCACAAATACATTCCAGATGAAAGCTTGGGGAAAAAATAAAAATCACCTACATATATGAAACTAAACTAATGACATCTGATACTACAGCATTGCACTCCGGCAGACACAAATATACCTTAATGTTCCAAAGGGATCAGTTCCTGTGGGATATCCACTTGCCATACATCTTTGCCCCCTTTAGCAGGAATCGGTTCCAGTAGCCATCTTGGATTTGAAACAACAGTCAAGTATTTCTGCTCCAGGCTAGTGAGTACAGCTTGATTTTCCAGCTCCAAAATCTTTTCAGGAGATAAATTTTCTGGACATTGTGAGGTCTCTCCAATGTCAACCAGCCCTGTATTATAAATGCAAAAGTTACTTGGCAGGTTAGTTCCCCTCCACAACAGAAGTTTTCCAAAATAAATTTTTCAACAACTTCCCAGTCCACATATAAAACAACTAATTTATATATAGGAAGGTCTCTACATCCAATGTACACACCTTAAACAACAAGTGTCAATCTCTGCAAAAGGCAGCCTATGTGACTCAAGATGAAAAGGAAGATGAGCTGAAGCATGCAGTTATAAGATTATTAATTCAGTGTGATGTAATTCTGTTAAAAAGAAGTTCTGCAACTACTGAGGTATTACTGAAAACTTGGGAGCCAAATTCAGCCCAGGAAAAGCTCATCTTAAAAAACAGAACTGTGCCCACTTATAACGGATGAATTTGCCCCTATTTTATTAAAATATCAACAAAAGAAAGCAAAAGGAGTACTAGACAGCAGGTATTTTCATATCTTTCTGTGATTCAAAATCTTTATGAAATAAAGGCCAAACAAATCTTCATTCCTTTTCATAGTTTAGCATGTGATTTATGAAGAAATTATGAATTTACATACTACCTAGACATACTACCTAACAATTCTCTGTATGATACCAAAATATTGTTCCAGCTGTACATGTGATACACTGTTCTTAAGGAAATAAAAATATTAAAATGAAAATGCGAGAGTTGATCTGACAAAAGAATTGATATAGATGAGACTAAAAACAACAAAAAATGGATACAAACTTCATAACTAGACATACAGTACATCTATTTTAACAATTTTAAAGCAAAGAAACAACACTTCTATCCTAATTTTGTACCACAGTAATAAACTTCCCCATTGCCCAAATAATACAAAACAATATTTGGAGTATTCAACCACTTGCACAATTGAAAGAGGCAGCCATCAAAGTAATGTACTAACATGACATGAAAAGCATGCCATGACTTCATTTAAGTATAGGAGTACTGTAAAATCATATCAGCAAGAGGAATCAGAAGCTCAACATGCAAGAAAGTACATGTAGAATCAGCATTCTGGGTGCAGCTAGTTGGGGGTCAGTGGCATGGGGATCTGGATGTGGGGGCTCAGGGTGGTGCAGAATTCCGCCAGAAGTAACAATGTGCAACACATTACTGAATTGAAACTTAAGGCCCCAATCCCGCAAACTTTTAAGCATGTAAATAACCTCACTTACACATGTAGACCTATTAAAGTAAATGGACTATTCAAGAGAATAAGTAAAGTCTTTGCAGGCCCTGGATCAAAATGTTTACTTCTGTTAGCAGTTGAAGTCAATACAGGTATGAAAGAATAAGCTGAACTCCATTCTGTTTCTGACATTGGGAGACTTGTCAGATAACTCTTAGTTCCAAAATTATTATTACTAGTGATAATGAAGAAAGCAGAATAACTTAACTGGATATTTATAATACTAGGAGTTTGCACTGCTAACAGTTTGAAGAATTATGGTTTTACTTGTATATGACACAAATTGGATCCGTAAATTTTCCACTTGTCAACATTAAAAACACATACACACAATTTGGGTGCAAACAACTGCTATCTGCTTTAATTATTGCAAAACCTTAGTGCACACACAAGTTTACATCCAAAAAATTCACTGGCCCCAATGGTATTTGTGGGTTTAAAATTCTAATATTTGCATGTATATTAGGCTACTGAACATGCTCACACAAAAATTACAATGTTTAGGGAGTGTGAATTAGCATAGACATACCCCTAGTAACAGGCATGTGTGCGTGCAATTTTGTGTGCTCATGAGAGAGATGGGAGAGGGTGCTGGCATTTGAAAATTTAAGCCCCAATCCTGCAGATACCTATGCATGAGCTTAACTTTACATACAGCAAGTAGTCTCATTGACTTCAGTGCCAATACTCAGAGCTAAAGTTAAACTTGTACATAAGTCTTGGCAGGATTGGCACCTTACAGTCACTTTTCTAAGTTCAGCTACACTTTAAGGTTCCATATACTGCTTTACAACTTTCAGCCCAAATATGATCACATTTCCACCTACTCAATCTCACTGATATCAATGAGGTTACACAAGTGGAAAGGACAGCAAAAATCTAGCCTTTTGTATTTATTTAGTATTTTATTTTTAATGTTTTTGTGAACTTCACAGTACCTCACAAAAAATTACAAAGTTATAAAAAAGTTGTCTAGAGACAGGTTACAAAATTTGTGCTTAAGAAACTGTGTGTTTGCAAATTTAAAACATGCTTCGGACTGCTTGCAATAAAAAAGACCAACACTGCTTACCAGCAATAACTCCTCTGCCAAATTTTTCCCCTTTATCTAATAACTCTTGAACTTGCATAGGTGTCATGCCAAGTCTATTCAGAAGGATCTCTTTCCATGTTTCATCTTCCCAGTCCTTGAAAGCTATGTGAATAGCAATAGTGCAGTTCTTGTAGTCTAACAGCAAAGGACGCCAACGAGTCTCTATAGTTTTGACTTTGTTCAAAACCAATCCAGCATAGGGTTGCCGGAAGGAAAGACAGCCAAATCTCATCTTTCTTCAGCGTCACTCTTTACCTTAAAAAGAAAAGGAGTACTTGTGGCACCTTAGAGACTAACCAATTTATTTGAGCATGAGCTTTCGTGAGCTACAGCTCACTTCATCAGATGTTTACCGTGGAAACTGCAGCAGACTTTATATACACACAGAGAATATGAAACAATACCTCCTCCCACCCCACTGTCCTGCTGGTAATAGCTTATCTAAAGTGATCAACAGGTGGGCCATTTCCAGCACAAATCCAGGTTTTCTCACCCTCCACCCCCCACACAAATTCACTCTCCTGCTGGTGCTAGCCCATCCAAAGTGACAACTCTTTACATAATCAAGTAGGGCTATTTCCTGCATAGATCAAGGTTCTCTCACATCCCCCCCACCCCCATACACACACAAACTCACTCTCCTGCTGGTAATAGCTCATCTAAACTGACCACTCTCCAAGTTTAAATCCAAGTTAAACCAGAACATCGGGGGGGGGGGGGGGTAGGAAAAAACAAGAAGAAACAGGCTACAACGCTTTACCTTATACTTCTCTCATATCCTGTTTAGTTTATAAAGGGGAAAAAATAATTAGCTTAGCACAACATCCCGATGTCCAGGACTTGAAAATCCATCCAGCAGCGGCCACAGAAAACTAATGCATCTGCCTGCACAACAGTCTTGAGAAGTTTTGCAAAATAGTCTGATTATTCAAGTCACTGTACCTTCAGAATGCCTTAGTATTTCTAGAAAGCAATAGTGAGTTTTCAAACATTTAATCAGTCTTGAAACTCCAAAAATTAGATTATGATCTGTTATATTGGTGTCTATTATTATTTGCAAAAAGAAAAGGAGTACTTGTGGCACCTTAGAGACTAACCAATTTTAGTCTCTAAGGTGCCACAAGTACTCCTTTTCTTTTTGCGAATACAGACTAACATGGCTGCTACTCTGACACCTGTTATTCTTATTTGTATGGTAACGCCTAGAAGCCCCAACCAAGATCAGGGCGCCGTTGTAACAGAGCACTGAAAAAACACAGAGTGAGAGATTGTCAAGCAGAGAAAATCTTATAATTTAAATAGACAAGTCAAACGGACGGTGGGAGATAGGAAATATTATCCACATTTTACAGGGAAAAAAAGCCTTTGGTAGAGCCAAGAATTGAACTCAGAACTCCTAAATCCTAGTCTAGTGCTTTACCCACAAGACCCTTACTAAATCAGATGTTACTCTGTCCCCATAACTGAGATCAGAAACTCGCTACAAGTATTTACAGATAGAAATTAAACTTTTCACATTAGTTTTCAGCCCATATCATGGAGAGTGTTTCGGAAGAAAGAAGCAAAATACAAAAAGACGTGGGGACAAGAGTGGGAGCAGGATACAAAACGAATCATTGGTCTTGCAGGTTTGGAAGAGTGAGGGAGGAGTTGGAACAGCTGAGAGGCAGGAGCTAAACTGTCCTGTGCCTCACAGGCCAGGGCAAGAAGCTAAACATCAAATGAGGTGGGCCTGTGAAAGCCAACAAAGATACTTGAAGAGGGTTTGACCTGGCCAGAGTGGCAGGCAAGATGGAAATATGCTAAATCTAACCATGTTTGTTTTTTCAAACACAGTGAGAACGGTATATTGTTGGGATTTACCCTTGTTTGTTTACAAAGCAAATGCTGAGGCACTGTGCTACAGAGCAGGAAGGCCAACACGTCAGAACAACTAGAAAAGTCCCCCTTTGCCAAGAAATAAACAAACATCCAATTCCTAGTTCGGGAGGAATTAGATGTTTAACAATATTGTACACTCAACAGTAGGAGGTGTTATCGCTAGCACAGCAAATTCATTTTATACATGGCTTTTACCCTGACAGTGCCCAGTAAAACTGCTGCTTACAATAATAAAATAAATAAATAAATAAATGATATCCTTCATTCAAGTTGTCTCAGACAGGAGCGCCACTTACACCATTCATACGGGGGCTGTTCAACACCCAGCCAAGTGCTGACTCAGGGCCCCTCTCACTCTTCACATTGGGGCTACCCCCACCCTCTGCTACCATCAAAACTCAGGCCCCCTCACCTCCTATGTCCCCCCACCATCAACTCAGGACCTAGAGGACCCTCACTCTTGGGCTCCCCCCCCCACCATCAACTCAGGACCCCCCTCACTCTTAGGCTCCCCCAACTCCCACCATGAACTCAGGCCCCCTCACCTCCTATGTCCCCCCACCATCAACTCAGGACCTAGAGGACCCTCACTCTTGGGCTCCCCCCCCCACCATCAACTCAGGACCCCCCTCACTCTTAGGCTCCCCCAACTCCCACCATGAACTCAAGGCCCCTCGCCGCCCTAGGATTCCCCCCACCCACCATCAAGTCAGGGCCCCCCCCCAACTCCCACCACCAACTCAGGGCCCCTCGCCGCCCTCACACTGGGGTTAACACCCGCCCAACGCGCTCCCGGGGCCCTCACCAATCGGCTCGTCGCTTCCTCCGCCGCCGCCGCCGTCCCGAGCGCGGGTGGGCCGGCAGTGACTCTTCCGCCGCCGCTACTCGCCACCAGGCCTCGCCCCTCCCGCCGGCCCGCCCACAGCCAGAGCGGCATCCGCCGGCCCGAGGACCGCGCAGCTCGGCGGGGCGGGGCCGGTGCGCTGCTTGGCCCTGCCCTGAGGGGAACGGGGAGCTGAGCGGGGGGCCCGACGCCCCTCAGCCCAGGCCGCTGCCCGCGGGGGGTTTAGTGACAGCGGGAAGAGAAGCCAGGGGGGTGCTGGGGGTTGCCGAGTTCAGGGCCCCCCTTTGCTGCCTTAACACCCGCTCGTCTCCATCGCTCTTGCCGGGGGCGGTGACCTGGCCTGAGCGGGGACCCCGGGTGCCTCGCCTTCCCCTGACACCAGCTTGCTAGCCGGCTGCCTTCCTTGGGTCCCCTCGCCGGCTCCGGGCCCCGGCTCTTTCCTGGGGGGCAGGGAGGATGAAGGCAGCAAGCTGGGGTAGCCCTGCAGGGCTGTGGGGTTGTTGCCTTGCAGGGCACTAGCTGGCATAGGGTGGTCTTAGGTAATAGCAGGGGGCCCCTCTGAGTGCTGGGGCGTGTTTCTGCCCCCAGATACTGTGGGGTTTAGCGTTAGATCAAAACAGACAAGTATTGATCCTTACTATCAAATATTTCACCCCGAATCACTCCTGCTCTGTAAAATCTGAGCATCAGGGGTTGATGTTTATTTGGCACTAGACTGGTTTGAAATGTACACTGCTCCTTGTTACTGTACTGTATTAATGGTTGCTGGCCAGTTCCCTTGTGAATCAGCGGGTTTTGCCTCTCTTCTGCCTGCCTGCTCTGCAGGCTGCAGCCACTTTGAGCACCTGAGGCCTTCTCTACACTAAATTTTGTCCCTTAAAATGCCCCACTATTGCTACCAGTGGTGGAGCTCCACTGGTACTATTAACAGTGGGCTCATTACTGTAAATTGTCTTCTGGTAGTTTCTGGTGCTTTAACCATTTCCTGCTCTGGTTAAAATGCTGGCAGATGGTCTATGCTAGCTCCTTCACCATTGCAGAACTGCACTGGTGTTTGCAACCATGGGCAATTTTAAGGGGGGGAAAAAAGTGTAGAGACCATCTTACAATTTGAAAAGTTCAGTAAATAGAGCAGGATGAGAGTGAGTCAGACTGTTGCCAGCCAAGCAGCATCTTCCCCATCCTTCTCTGCTAATGGTCCACTGATTTTTGGGGTAGAGAGAGAAAGGTCTGTAGGGAGCAGCAGCTCAAAGTAGACAGAAAGTAAAATATGCTTTCAGGAGAGTCAAAGAGATCTAGTAGAAGGTGCAAAGGTAGAAGAGGTGAGATCAAGGAGGATGAAAAAAGGTAGAGGAAGCCGGAGGAAGAGGAAAAGAGAGAGGAGGACCTAAGGGCAGACCTCGAAACAGACAAAGGGGAAGAAATAGTAAGAAAATAACAGCTTTTCGGTTCAGTGAATTTTATCTTATTTGTTCTGCCATTTCATTGTATTTGCCTGGCATGTGCCCCACTGCCACGTTGAAGGGATAGTGTTGCACTGGGGATTTGAAGGTGAACTGATAATTAACAAATAATTGTTAGTAAGTGGCATAGGATAACTTGGCACAGTTGCAATTAGAAAAGTACAGTGTTTATGTTTCCCTCTGTGGCCAACAGCTCCTTTTCTAAAGCATACCCCAGTACATACTGGGCTCCACGCCATAGGAGTCTGCAAGGGAGATCCTGATGTATAGTATTGCCCGTTTTTATACTTTTTAAAGTGAATTTTTACTTTATACCCTCTTGCATTTCCAGTGATAATAAAAAATTTGGAAATCGGTAAGGGGAGATTTCTGTTATCCCTGTAAGCTCCATTGTGGTCCAGTTATGACTTTGAGGTCTCTTTGGGATGTCACATAGAATGGAAGGCAGTGACCCAAAGCGGGGCGGGGGAGAGGACAGGTTTAAATAAAAAATATATGGCATGCCATTTTTGTTCTGTTTAACTGGGGTATTCAGCACATATTTTACTATTATAGTTGACCATATGTATTATTTTAAGTTACATGCCTTAGACATGTATCAAAATGGTTGCCCTGCTGCTCATTTTCACAGGGGAACTGAACAGCAAAAGTAAAATTAACAAGATCTTCTTGAGCTAGTACATGGTGCTGAAAGTGGTGAGAGAGTGAAAATGATCTCCCTATATAAAGAGTTTAGAATTAGTCCAGTTCCTCCCTGCTTCATATAAAAAGGGAAATTAATAAAGGGGTAGTGAGTTTCCCTGTGCAGCTAGATCTAGGGTTAGAAGGGTAGGTGCAGATGGAAACTAAATAATCCTAGTCAGTTTCCCTATGCAAGCTCTTTACACCTGGAGCCTAGACAAAGGAAGAGGAAAGGGATGAGGAAAAAGTGGCTAGTAGGCAAAAATTAATGACTGCAAGCAGAATTAGAAAAGGGAAAAAAAGCATGAAAGAGAGAAATCAGACAGAAAGAAAAGATAGAAAGGTGAGTTAAGGAGAAAGACCTGCTGCTCCAGTGATGATGATATCACCTTGGTATCACCTTCTCTCCACACTTGCAACTCCTTACTACAGTAGTGAAGGTATTTCCCCATGCTCCCAAATTTCAAGACCTAATTTGGGACACTGGAAGTTTCAAAGTAACTTTTCAAATTATGGGGACTCAAAGATGGAGAAGGAAAGCTGATTTTCTAGAAATCAGAAGAAAAATGGGCTACTTCTTCAATTATCTGAAGAAACTGTCACCCAGAAAGTCATCGAGGTTCCAGACAGCAAAAGGTAAGACCAAAAAGACATTTTCCTGTGGACATTTGTGTTTGTGGATGAAGGCTTCTTAAATTAAATGAGTGTTGTGGGCTGTAAACTGATCTGGGAGGAATAGATTGTGCCCTCTTGCTTTTTGGATGTAAGTTGTTCGTGTAGTTTTGTGGCAGCTGCCTTCACTATAGACCTCCACTGAATCGCTAATATTCTAATGAAAATAACCCTAGTCTTAACCTCTCCCCACAATTTTAGCTGCTGAAGCTATTTATTATCCTTGCTACTATTTTCTGGGGTTCTTACTGTTTTTCCGTATCTCTCCTACTGCAATATTTCTAATGTTCTCCACAGTATGCCGTATAGGGTCATGCAATTCCTTTTTACAATGCTGTAATGACAAGACAAATTTAATGTAATTGTGATTATTTAGGGTTTTTTTATTTTAAATGTTCTTTAATTTCAGTCTTATTAGATCTGTGTGATTAGAGCAAAGACCTGTTGAATCTGTATACAGTTGCAAGGTCTCCCATGTTTAAGAAGGATGAATTCAAACTGGAGCAGGTACAGAGAAGGGTGATCTGAGAAATGGAAAACCTGTCTTATGAAAGGTTTCAGAGTAGCAGCTGTGTTAGTCTGTATTCACAAAAAGAAAAGGTGTACTTGTGGCACCTTAGAGACTAACAAATTTATTTGAGCATAAGCTTTTGTGAGCTACAGCTCACTTCATCGGATGCATAAAGTCTCTAAGGTGCCACAGGTACTCCTTTTCTGTCTTATGAAAGGAGACTCAAGGAGCTTGGCTTGTTTAGCCTAACCAAAAGAAGGTTGAGGGGAGATATGATTGCTCTTTATAAATATATCAGAGGGATAAATACCAGAGAGGGAGAGGGATTATTTAAGCTTGGTACCAATGGGGACACAAGAACAAATGGATATAAACTGGCCATCGGGAAGTTTAGACTTGAAATTAGACAAAGATTTCTCACCATCAGAAGAGTGAAGTTCTGGAATAGCCTTCCAAGGGAAGCAGTGGGGGCAAAAGATTAAACTCGATAAGTTTATGGAGGAGATGGTATGGTGGGATAACATGATTTTGGCAGTTAATTGATCTTTAACTATTCGTGGTAAATAGGCCCAATGGCCTGTGATGGGATGTTAGATGGGGTGGGATCTGAGTTACTATAGATAATTCTTTCCTGAGTATCTGGCTGGTGAATCTTGCCCACACGCTCAGGGTTCAGCTGATCGCCATATTTGGGGTGGGGAAGGAATTTTCCTCCCGGGCAGATTGGAAGAGGCCCTGGGGGTTTTTCACCTTCCTCTGTAGCATGGGGCACGGATCACTTGCTGGAGGATTCTCTGCTCCTTAAAGTCTTTAAACCATGATTTGAGGACTTCAATAGCTCAGTCATAGGTGAGAGGTTTTATTGCAGGAGTGGGTGGGTGAGATTCTGTGCACTGCATTGTGCAGGAGGTCTGACTAGATGATGATAATGGTCCCTTCTGACCTTAATATCTATGAATCTATTCCTTTATTGCTTTTGCTTTTGTTATTTCTGCTATTTTTCCACTGCAGTAACTGCTACATACGTGAGGCCAAATTCCTCTCTCTGTTATATGAAAGAATGTTTGGATTTACATGCATGTAACCTATTGCAGGATTTGGTCCAATATCATTTGTGTTTAATTGTATAAATATAATGCCTTGTTTCATGATCTAGGGGGAGATTTTTAAAGACTCCACAGGGAATTAGTCGTCGAACTCTCATTGAAATAAAAAAAAATTAAATGCATTTTAAATACAGATGTGGTTATTGCCATATAAGGTGAATAAACGTTATGTAGAATGGTCATATGAGATATATCATATTTAGCTAATCTAGTCCAGAAACCTCTTTTCTATGGGTCAATACTGGATGATTCATTGGAAGAAAAACAAACAAACAAAAACAAACACCCAGCACCTACCTAATACCCTGAGCCTGCAAAAATTTATGTTACTTATTATGCTTTACTTTTATGCACTGAGAGTAGTCACATTGGCTTCAGTATGACTATTCAGTGTTTGAATTTAAGCAAATGCATAAATCTTCTTAGGGCTTAATTGTACAATGCTGTATACAAGTGAGGAAATTCTTCCTGATGCTGACAGATGATCAGATTATATCCAGGAGCTTGAGGTCTGAGAATCTGTATCATTATTTTGGCCAGCATGGCTACTAGTGTTGGTAAAGATAATTATATTAGCTAATCCTATGTAAATCATGGTACGGTATTTGTCTTGATGACCTACTGCAACAGTGAATTCCACA